AATACAACAATCCACATTTGGAATGCTTTTTCATTGTTAAGTAGATTTCTTAGTTAAATTAAAATTCAAGTCCAGGTAGCGGAAAATATAAATAATGCCACACTAAAGTCTCCAATCTGCCTTATAAACCAAGGTAGGTATAGTTAACATACATAAGTTTTTTCAAAATTATTTCTGAAGATTTCTTTTTTTGAATCTTTATGTTTATAACTCCTTGGTGAAGGATTTAGAATACCCCAGGTCAGTTTCTTTTGGTTTTTCTGTGTGTATTAATAATGCACACATGCAAAGTGAACAGATACTGACATAAAGCCCCAAGTAAGGTAAACTATTCCAAGATACTGATTGGTGAAACACATCTAATACAACGATTTTCAACTAGTGTGTCACAAGAATTTTTATAACATGCAATTACCTGACTAGTCAGGGGCACTGACCTCTTATCCCTCAGATCAGCGGTTGTCAACCTTTGTTTCATCTCATGGCACACACAAACTAATTACTAAAATTCTGCAGCACACCAAAAATATCCTATATTTTTAATGATGTGGTAAAAAACATAGGTATAATTTTGATTCATTAACACTGGACAGCTATTGTGTTGGCTGCTGTCATTTTTTTATTTGACAATCTAAGGCAAAAGGAGTGAGTATCCCTGAATTAACTGTCGGTATTGCATGTTTTAAAAATTCTTCTTGCACATCGGTTGAAAAACACTGCCATAGGTTGTCAAATGAAAAAATGACAACAGTCAACATGACAACAGCTGTCAGGGCCAATGCCCTGTCTTGCACCATAAACATATAGGTCATATAAGAGTTGCATCTTATTGTTCATATTACATAATAAGGGTGCATTGGATTGATGAATTCTTATGAATTGATTAATTCATAAATTTTCTTACATAAGTACAGGCACCTAATTTTTTAAAAAGTCACTTTGGAGCAAAAGAGGTAGGAAATTACTATTACTATTGTTATTATTTCGTAAATCAAAATTACACCTAAATTTTTGCAGGCTAGCAAAACATGTATTTTTTGGTGGAGTGTAGAATTTTAGTAATTAGTTTATGTGTGCCACCAGATGAAAAAGGGTAAGAATTGCTGATCTAAGGCAACAACTAAGTACCAGAGTTTGTTCGTCAGTCCTGATTTAACATAAACGTGACCTGGGAATTAAAAACAAAAAACAAAAAACGACGTTCAGATCCTACTTCTGAGCAACTAAATTAGAATACATGCAAATAAAGGCCAGATATTTGCATGTTTTAAAGGCTCCTTGGGCAATTGTAAAATACAGTTATCTTGAGAACCTCTGAATTAAATTAAGAATGAAAATAAAAAATAAGCCACTTCTAATTATGATATTGCATACTTCTAGTAAAAACAAGTGAAAATTAGTGAAATGCTTTCCTATAATGTATCATATTGATGCATCACCTTTACATGTTTAATTAGAAATGTATTAAATTTGTTTTCTAAAAGGCATACAATTTTAAATATATAAGAAGCATAAATGCATACCGAATTTCTTTAAGGGTAAAAGCTGTCTCTTAATGTGACAAATAGTACGTAGTCTGTCTCATTTTCTTCATTAAATAATCCTGAGTTACTTCCATCTGGTTCTACAGAGTACGACAGTGACGAATTCAAAATTACAAACAATGAAAGGAAACACATTCTTCAACTTTTTTGTTCATAACCAGGCACTTATTCATCTTTCCATCCATAATTTAGAATTACTTAGTTTCCAAACCACAGATGGGACAACCAGGTCGCATGACCATGATCTTGGTGTTCACCAGAAATTCACTGTCACCAATACCACCTTGGAATGCCATGTGTAGCAAATTACATATTTATGTGAAGTCAGATTATCAAATAACATATACACAATGCAAATGTCCTAAACTGTTAACTAAGGAAAGAAAATAACCAGACATCAGTGGAATTATTTTATTAGACATTGGAATAAATAAAATAAAAGCCTGAAGACCAGAATCTTTCGGCTTATTTGTGAAAGGTTCATGGAAATCAGTAATATCCAGTAGTTCTTGAAGTCTACATTATCACAGGCTCTGTCTTATTCCTTGTTATTACTTCAACCAGTGCCAGAAAAACAGCAGGCACTTAATAGATGATTGTTAATTTGGATTGAGCACTTTTAGAAGCCTAAATATAAAACATAGTTAACATGGTTACAATAGACTATGAATTTTCAGACATCGCAAATATACATTTTAAAAATTCCAAAATCATATCATTAAATTTGCATCGATCACATTATTCTAAAGTGTTCAAAATATTGTTGATTTATAACCAGTTAATTTTCCAAAGTAAAAATGGTGTTGACATTTATTCCCTTTCCAATAAAATTTACATACTGTGGAAAAATAATAAATAACTATAGGAGTCTATGTTAAAATATGAAAATATGAAATATACTTAATTGCAATGGCAAACTTGTAAACTATCTCTGAATTACTATTCAAATTGTATGTAAATACAGGTTTAAGATAATACTAATAATCATATTTGTCTTAGATCCCTGAATCATTATTAAGGTTTCACATCTATAATGTGAATATGATTATTGCTTCATTGGTTTCTTAAAATCTTATAATTATGCTATAAAACAAGAATATTTTAACTGAATCTATCTTTTCAAAATTTAATGTAGTCAAGATAGTCGACACTGACATAGTCAGACAGCAAAAGGTAGGGAGTAAAATTCTGAATGTTATTAATAGAGTCAAGAGCTCTTTATACATTCTCAATTCATAATCTCTATGTCTATACGGCTCTGAAGCATATGAGTAAAAAGTGAAAAATACAGATATTTATCTACTACTTGTTATATGTGATATAAACAGTCACATGGGACTGTTTGGATGTTAAACCGAATCTTTCATTTCATCTAAAATGTTCTCAATTGTGTAAAATAGTACCTTTGTGTTTTAGTTAAGGCTCTGTGTCTACTTTGGCACTTTGATAGATTTATTTATACATTTTTTGCTTGCAGAAAGCATTTGTTATCAGTTCTGGTATTTTTCTGATCTTCAAAATCGTAACCACAAAATCTTCACCTTAGCTATAAATTATATCTAGCTGTGGCCCCTGAAATTGAGAAATATGAGTTTCTAGTTAGTTAGGAGGGACTTAAAAAAATGGCTGAGCTTCAAATTCATTGGGATTGAAAAGTTTTCAATTATTCTAATTTTACTTACAATAGTTCATTAATTTTGAAAGGAAGCATGAGTGAATCTTTTAAAAATAAAACACAGTCTACTAATTGTGAAACTTTCTGGGATTTCCAAGTAAGCAGGTTCTTAAGTTAATTTACATCTTCCAAAATCCCGATTACCGTAAAGTATGCATACGTTAAGAACTAAATTTCTCATATATAGTCACAGAAAACAGTTGCTGGTGTGTTAGATATGCACAGAAATGTTGTTAGATGTTTAAAAACAGCTTTTTTAAAAAACTAGGAGTATTGCAGTGTTGACCTTAATTGGAAAGAAACTATGAGGTAACTCTCTCCTGCTAAGAAACCTGCATCTAGGTGGGATTTCCCATGATTCAGAGAGTGTGATGAACACTTAAAGCACTTCTCCCCAGACTCTCTTATTTAAAGGAGAAGATAACGTTTTGAAGAAAAATAAATTAACATAACGGTCAATGCTGACCAAAAGTAATGTAAACTAAATTTTTAATAAAATTGCAAACCAGTTTTCCTCTTTAAAAGACTAATAAATGACTAATATAGGAAGGTTAAATATTGTAAAATTTCAGATTTGGCCATGTATTTTTATTTGTAAAGCGGAAATAGCAGAAAATAGATCCTTAAAATAAAAGAGTAGCAAAAACAAAAGTTAATTTATTACATTTTATATCATTATTTTGAAAACTGAATTTAAGTAAAGCATGGTAAAATGAGTCAGAAAAATAGTGAATAGCAATATTTGAATGTCAAAACTAGCATTTGGACATTATGGGCATCTTCTGGTAATGTGTGTTTTTTTACAGTTGACTTGTAAAATCACGAAATAGTACTATGTGCTTTCCAATGTGCTTACTGAATTCTTTAAAACCAATTTAAAATTACTGTGTTTGTAGTGTTATGAATGTTAGCTTCTTTTAACAATTTTGTTTCTGAGAATTCTGGAATTTCCTAAACCACAGTGTGTAGAAGAAGGAGGTGCCCAGAAGTGGGCTCCTTTGCTCAGCTTTGTGGTTGTTTTATGAGATTCTTTCGAGCTCTGCTTTCTCTAAAGGAGAGCCAGTAGTTCTTAGTAAATGCAGCGGGGTATGAGGGGAGGATCAGGTACTGCAGCCGTGAAACCTCTGCCCAGGCATGCGTTTCGGTTTATGCACTGCCGGGTTAAGGAACACATTTCAACGATCTGGGCATTCATCGCTCTCAGTTGTAATACATTTATCTCTGTCTAAAACAATCTTTCCACTGAGTAATCCCGTTTCGAGGTGAGAGGAATCTTTGCTCAGGATGGCACGAAGCAGGCCCCTAATTCCCAAAAAGATCCATCAAGAGCAAGGAAAGTAATCAATGGCCATCGCACCGCATATACGTCGAGTCCCAGGGAGACCAAGACTCCGAGAGCAGCGCAAAATGCGTGCGCTACCCGAAGGTTGTAAGGCGCGCTTAAGGGAGCTGGGATCTGCTAGCGCGCAGAGCTAGTTAACGGAGGGCGTGCCGGAGGCGTGGCGCGAGGTGTCCCGGCCGGGCGATCGGCGTGGGGGACGGCGGTGGGCGAGCCAGGCGTGGGCAGCGCGGCCCGGGAAGGGCAACGCAGGGCGGCGAGCAGCTCCCGGCTCCCGCTCTCCCGACCGCCTAGCCCTAGCCGCCGTGGGCGGGGCCTGCGGTGATTGGCGGGCGGGCGGGGAGGTCGGAAGTACTTTGTTTTTTATGCTAATGAGGGAGTGGGGCTTGTCCGTATTTACGTTGAGGCGGGAGCCGCCGCCCTTCATTCACCCACATGGTCTTTCGAGGTGCTGCTGCCGCCGCCGGACCTGCGCCTTCGCGCCACTTCGCGCCCTCGGGCGAGGCCGAGGGGGTGGGGACGACCCCCGCCGCGCTTCCGAGGCTCGCGCCCTGCGCGAAGCCCCTTCTACAGGGTGGGCCGGCCAGCCGGCCTCACCCCCTGGCTGGGGCCTCCAGTCGTAGTAAAGCAGAGGCGGGTGGGGAGGCGGGAGCGATAGTCCGCGGCGGGCGAGGCGAAGATGGTGGCGGCTACTTCTGCCGGTGAGTCTGCCTGTCCCTCCGCCGAGTGAGTGAAACCTGTTGTGTGCAGCCCGGGTCTGGAGGGAGGGAGGGCGGACGGGTGGGGCGGACGAGCCCGGGGCGGCGTGGCGGCGGCGTGGCCGGGGCGGGTCTCGGGCCGTTGGCCGCTCCGGCGTGTGGCAGGCGCGACTCGCTGCCCCCTTGGTAGCACGCGCGCTGGCGGAGGGGCAGGGCCGGGCCGGGGAAAGAGGGTGGAAGGTGGCGGCGGCCGCGCCCGGGATCCGCAAGGACCCTCCCTGGGCCGCTCCGGCGGGTGGGTGGTCGCGCGGCCAACACAATGGCCCCTCGGGGAAGGGACGTGTTTGGCTCGCGCCCCCTCCAGGGCGCGGGGTGCACACGGGGCGCGGGGTAATAGGGTAAGGAAAGTTTCTCTCGGGGGCGAGAGTTAAAGCGCTTCCAGAACAAAGCGGCGGCGGCAGCGGCACATGGGGCAGGCCGCGGGCCGGGAGGGGGCGCGCCCACGAGGTACCTGCGCGCTGGGGGGCGGCGCGACGTGGGCGGGAGGGCGCGGGTCCCCCAAACTTTGTGCGCGAGAGGGCGGAGGGCGCGGGAGGTCCGGGCGGCGCGGCCTGGACGCCACCCCCACTCCGCGTGGGCTTTGTTAACCCGCGTGGGCAACCTTCGGGCGGTGCTCGCAACTTCCCGGGCCGTAGTCCGCGGAGCGGGCCGGGGCCGGCCTCGGTTACGGCGTGGAGCCGCCTTCACCCGTTTGCTGGCCTGGGAGCGCGGCGCGGGAGGGCCGGTTGGGCTCGGCGGGAGCTACGGCCGCGCCGCCATGTTCCTGCGGGGCGGGCTGCGCGGGGGTGAGGGCGGGGGACATGGCGGCGACTGCGCGCCGCCGCCGATTGTTCCCGGCTTAGGCCTCGGGCCGCGTGCGACGGGCACCGCAGTCGCGGAGCCCCCGCCCCTCTGGGCCGGGCTCGGGGGGGCCGGGGGACACAAAGGAGGGGCGGCGCGCCCGCGTCCTCGCCGCGATCGGGCCTCGGCGCCGCCGGTCGCCGCGCGGCTGCCGCCGGGAAACGGTTTAGGGGGGTGGTTGCCGCGTCCGGCAGGACTTGGCTCTGACCCACCGCCCCCTGGCGGCCGTGCGGGGAACCGCAGGGCCGCGGGCCCCCTTGTGCGACATGTGCTGCCGGCCCGGGCTCCATGAGCGTGGCGGGCACTTTGCAGTCTCCGGTGTTAATGCTGCCTTTTCTATTCCTAAACGGGAGCAAAGGAGACGGGAACTGGAGAGGGCAGGCTCGTTTTAGCAGTATCACCAAAAGAAAATATTAGCAACATCCCTACCCGACCACATCAGTTAGGGAAACAACTCTTTATCCCGGCTTGCAGCCACGAGGTCTAGAATGGGGGAGGGGTGGTGAAGAATAGTCCCTTTGCTGCTGCTTTTTCCTCTCTTTGGAGCTGTACAGTAGAGTTTAAGATTGCTGTCGATCACACTCCAGCCTTTCAGGGCCTTTTAAAATAAGATGTGAATCTAATACTTGTGGGTTTTTCAACTTTATTATCCTACTAATTTTCACCTATACATTGGTCTTTTAAACCCCAACAGTATTGCCTGGCTTTCTTCGGTTTTGCAGTGGATGTAATTGATCGCTATAAAGGATTGGAAGAGAACAAATTTAAATCTGGGTTAGGACAGTTGTAGTAAATTTGTGCTTTTTCCCTACCGCCCCCCCCCCCATTTCAGCCATACACGTGGACCTAAGTGCACCAAAAGCTTTTCTAAGGATAGTTGCTGAGAAAGAAGTTTTCCCGAGTGGGTGAGTGTATTCTAATGTTCTTTAACTTCTTTTTTAAAAATAAATTTCTCTTGGATTTTTTATTTGAATCGTTAAGATGGGATTGGGTTTTCGACAAGTGAAATAGGTACTTTGTTCATTTACCTTTTCTATGAAATGACTTCAGTATGAGTTAGCTAAGTTTTATATTAGTAAAAGTACAATGCAAATGTCCTTATAGATCTTTAAAACTGATGCAGTTTACAAAGTGTAATTTTGGAGCTGCTTTAAGTTGGATGATAAAATGGATCTAATCTGTAATACGTTTTAAAGGTTTAAAAATATTTAAGTGGAATATATAAGATCAACCAGTTACACTTGAAATGTAGTATGAACCATAATTTTGATAGTTTACCACATATTTGCTAATTGAAAGCCAGAAGAAAAGTGTTCTCCCATGTGGATGTGAAGATTTCCTCTAAAAGGTACATGAGTCAAATTATATTAGTTCTTGTTCATATGCAGTCTGATTTTGATTTTTTTTTTAAGTATGCTGTTGGAAGTGGCCAAGTGAAGAGCCACCACTTACAGTATTAGAATGATGGTTAGTTATGATTGTCTCATGAAAAAATATTTTAACTTAAAAGTCTGTACTTCTGAATGGAACTTGCAGGTTTGCATAATTAAACTCGTTTTCTCTTTCTTATTAGAGATTATGCTGAATTTTGTGTTTTATAGTTTGTAAGAGTTTGAGGTGTTATGCTAATTATTTATTTAAAATTTAGCAGGAATAAAAAGAACATCACCTTGTAAAACTGAAGATTGTGACCAGTCAGAGTAATGTCAAAGTGCTTACAGTGCAGGTAGTGATATGTGCATCTACTGCAGTGAAGGCACTTGTAGCATTATGGTGACAGCTGCCTCGGGGAGCCAAGGTGGGCTTTACAGCGCAGGGCCTGCTGGTTCGAGTGCTTTTTGTTCTAAGGTGCATCTAGTGCAGATAGTGAAGTAGATTAGCATCTACTGCCCTAAGTGCTCCTTCTGGCATAAGAAGTTATGTTTTCATCCAATAAGCCAAGCCAAGCAAGTATATAGGTGTTTTAATTCTTTTGTTTGCAGTCCTCTGTTAGTTTTGCATAGTTGCACTACAAGAAGAATGTAGTTGTGCAAATCTATGCAAAACTGATGGTGGCCTGCTATTTCCTTCAGGTAATTTTTACTAATTTTGTGTACTTTTATTGTGTCGATGTAGAATCTGCCTGGTGTCTGATGTGACAGCTTCTGTAGCACTAAAGTGCTTATAGTGCAGGTAGTGTTTAGTTATCTACTGCATTATGAGCACTTAAAGTACTGCTAGCTGTAGAACTCCAGCCTCGGCCTGTCGCCCAGTCAAACTGTCCAGTTACTGAACACTGTTCTATGGTTAGTTTTGCAGGTTTGCATCCAGCTGTGTGATGTTCTGCTGTGCAAATCCATGCAAAACTGACTGTGGTAGTGAAAAGTCTGTAGAAAAGTAAGGGAAAATCAAACCCCTTTCTACACAGGTTGGGATCGGTTGCAATGCTGTGTTTCTGTATGGTATTGCACTTGTCCCGGCCTGTTGAGTTTGGTGGGGATTGTGACCAGAAGATTTTGAAAATTAAATATTACTGAAGATTCAACTTCTACTTATTAATGTTCGGGGGGGGCGTTAAAAAGTACTAAAAAGTTCTTTGTAATTTAAATTATTTAATCAGTGTAACTTTTTAAAACTTCTTGAATCAAATGTTGTATTTTTGTACTAAAACATTTTATTTCTGAGGTTGTGTGCCAGACTTGACTAAGGTTTTACTATATTTTTAAATTACTTAGTTTTCAAGCATTCCATTATGATTATGTCTGTAAAGGAAATTTACTTAAATAAATGTATGATAATAATCTGTAAAGTTAGGATATACTTTCTTTCTAGGCTTTCTCTGGGCTTAGTATTTAGGATGTTTTTAACAAAGAGTTAGTAAATTATGTTGCCTCCTACATTATTTTAAGTGTTTAAATCTGGTGAAAATACTTCTGTTTTAAATTAGTATGTGAAGAAATTGTTTAAACATGAAATTTAGATTTGGGAGAGGGTTGTCTTTTTTCCTAGTAAACAAATATATTTTGCCAGTACTAGTGTTCATTGTGTGTAACTTTTAACTGATAATGTGCAATGTGCTAGTTTTCTTGTCATTGTTAATACTGTGTCAACTATTAGTGATCCTTAGACTTAGCTTTCTGGGACTTAAAAATAAGAAAACAAGACATGCTGGTATTAAGTGAAGTCACAAACATTTTGTGTGTGTACATGTCTCTATTGCCAAGAGTGTAGAAGTTGGGTGGGAATCAGAACTTTATTTTTTTCTATTTGTTCTCTACTCCCTTTGTAAACCAGACTTCTGTGACAGTTCTAGGCTTATCTGTCACTGGAATGGAACCTAAGGTAGCAGTTATAGTGTTTTTATCTAGTGTTTCTGCCCCCCCCCCCTTTTTTTCTTTTTTTCATGTATTTTGTCTCTAGCCTGTGGTTCATATGTGTGGAAAAATGGGTTACTTGAGAATGATCAGACTTAAAAGGATCAATTGTTAAAATTGGACCTGAGCTGAATTTTGGTAATGTGAAATTTCACAACCTTATTTATTGTACCACCTGATAAATTGGAAAGACATTTTTAAAATGCATTACATGAAGTCTGACAAAATTTAAGCCTCTTGAAATTTAAGGAGTTTAATTATGGATCTCTGAATAGAAAGGTAAGAGTTTTACAGATCTGTATATAATAGTAGATTAAAAGGTAAATTTTCAGAATGAGAAAATACTAAGGATTATGCAGCGATTTATAAAACAGATCTAATTGTCCTTAAGTATTTTTAAACCTTTTAAAGTTGAAGAAAACTTAAAAATTGCTCTGTTTGGTTTTATTTTCTGACAATTTTTTAATGTCTAAAAGTTCCATAATATAGCATGATTTATAATAGGCTGCAAAATAGTGTGCAGTGGTTATAAGTGAAAAAAGTTATGTTTACCTCTACCGCACAATGAAGTGGAGAAGTTTTTGAGGAAATACCTCTTTAAAGTGGAACAGCAGTAAGAAAGCTGCCAGATGATTTCTTTAATGTGCTACAATGTAACTCAGATTTTAATAACAAAATTTTTCATTGGTAACTGCCCAGATGCTGAATCTGTAGTACTTGTGTTTAGAACTTCATCGGACTTTTAACTGAGCCTTAATGTCTAGTATAAATATCTTAACAGAGTGTATAACTTCTTGTGGGGTTTTCAGTGGGGCTGAGGTTACATAGGTTTTGGAGGAATTTTTTTATTTGCTTCTGGTTTTAAAATGTGTGACAAATTTCGTAGTCTTGCATCTTAAGACTTTCTTAGACACACTAACCAAAGGCTATGCAAATAAAAGGGTCATTAATTTCACCATTTTGAGATACAAATTGGCCTGGGTGGAGTAGGGGGTCTGGCCTGTCAGTGTTTTAACCTTGAAATTGTTCAAGACTTAAGGTATTGACCATCAGCTCAGATTTGGAGAGCCTTAAAGCTTTCAGAAAAAATAAACCTCTTCCTATTCTTTTGCATGTTTTGCATGTACGTACAGACCTCTAGCCTATAAAAGAAAAGTACTTGAGGTTTTACAAATTGTCTTTTGGGAAGTGGCGATTTTACTAAACACTTGAGATTTTTGTTTTACAGGCAAAACTGTCTAAGCAGAACAAGCCAGACTTGGCTTTCCCTATAGCTGGACAAGTCCTACGGAATGATCCCCGACGATTCAGCCTGCAGCTGCCTAGAGAACGATTCAAGGCTATTCAAGGCTATGTTAAAGTTCATGTGTACTTAATGAAATAACTTGTTAGTAAGTGACCGCCTGGCGTGGTTTGTCTAGCATTAAGAAAAGTTAGGAGCCTCTGGGCTGAGCAGAAAAGGTAAGGAGAGCTCAGTGTACAGACTTACTTCTTGGTGTGTGTCTGGAGATAATATGCCTACTCAAGATGTGGCTTTAAAAGTCTGAATGTACTTCTGTTTTGATAAATATTCTTTGTATTGTCAGTAATAATATTGATAAACTGTAATATCTTTAGTGAGTTTTAAAGGATAACTGGGGGGGTATCCCATCAATTTTAGGACCATAAAATATTTGTTTTAAAAAGCTTAGTTTTCCCAGTAATTTGAACCAAGACACAGCATTGAGATGCCTACTTTAATATGCATTTATGATTTAATCATGTTCTTTGAGTTTTAGTGCCTTTAATGTAAACAAAATTATGTATTTTAAAACTGTTAAGAAATTGTCCAGAATGAGCATATTGAAATAAAAATTTTAAGGTTATTTTTAGTTGTGACGGTTTCTCTGGGTTTGTTTTCGTTGTTGTTTTTTTGTTCATTTGTTTTTGTTACAGTAAGTGTGCCTAACATCTTCATCGAGGTAATTGGGGAGGTGGTGTAAATACCAAGGGTGATTTGCCTGCATTATCTTAGTTCAGTATCCATTGCCTCTGAATTGAGATAAGCATAATTTCTTGTACAAAAAGGATGTAAAACTGGAAAATGGACTCTGAATTAAAATTATGTCAGTTTTTTTTAAAAGGTTAACTTCTAATCTGACATGCTTATATCACACCTGAATTTATTTGATTTGGGTTTTTAGTGTATTAAAGGCTACTAAGAAAAGTCCCAAGTATAAATTATTTATTAATTTATGTATATTATAGGTCATGAGCACTAAAAATCCAGCCACTTGCTATTTTATTAAGCTAGTTAAGTCTGAAGAATCTCCTTTTACTGGAATACTGTGCACATGTTGAAGATTTTGGTTTTTGTTTTTTAAAACCTGTTGATACATTGAAGTTTAAGAGGAAACCAAAGTGTAAAAAGTCTTTAACACCTGCCTTTTTTTTTTTTTTTTTTTAAAGATTTTATTTATTTATCTTTAGAGGGGAAGGGAAGGAGAGAGGGAGAGAAACATCATTGTATGGTTGCCTTTCGTGCGTCCCCTGCTGGGAACTGGCCTGCAGGGAACCTGCCTGCAACCCTGGCATGTGCCCTGACTGGGAATCGAACCGCGATTGTCTGTTTCGCAGGCCCGCGCTCAATCCACTGAGCTACACCAGCCAGGGCAACACCTGCCTTTTAATGAATACTGAAATATCTTCTGATTATTAGCGTTGAATGTTCTTTGATGGAGGTGTGCTGTATTTGAAATACATTGAATATGTCCTGAGCAACACAGTTCAGCAACATGAATATTCAAGAAAATTCACGGTAAATATTTTACAAATAAGATTCTGGTTATATACTTAGGGACAGCAAATGGGTATGAGTTCCAGTCCTGTGCAGTTTTGAGTAAGTACTAAAGCAAAGGACAGTGTAAATGTAAGTTTAGTCACCAGTGAGACAAGTGTTTGGTGTGGCACAGGAGTGAATAAAAACCTGACTTTAGTAGCACAGTGATACCAAATCAAATGTTCAGTACAATGTCTCCATTCTTGATAACTGCATGATTACATCAAGACTGAATTTTGGAGTATGTACACTTAAGAGGAAAGGAACAGGTAGCTGTTGCTTGTAAAATTATGTGCTGTAAAGTAGTTAATAAAACAACTTTTTGAATTCCACTGGTAAACGTTAAAGGAATCACTTGCATATTTAGTTGGGATGTAATCTTGGAAAAACCACTGGGGGTGTGGGGACTTCTAGCAAAAGCAGATGACAATTGTCTACATTCGAGGCAAGTTATGTCCGTCCTTTGAGCCATTAACTGGCCTTAGGGCATCAAGTTCAGTTACATCCCTCAATGCAAAGGTCCACTCCAATGAAGACTCTTGCTGGGATTCTGCCCTGGTTGTACATTTACAAGATAAGGTAACTAATTCTAGTTGGGTGTTCTGGAACTTTAATCCAGATGCATTAGAATCCTTGGAGCTTGAGTAGGGCTGGATGCTAGGAAGACAAGCATTTCGAGATAATCTGTTTGCATTTAAGAGTATAACTGCTGCCATAAACAGTTCAAAACGATAAGCTGAAGGAAAGCAGGATGACAAAGCAATACCTGGGGATTTGTGTGGAAGGAAGGGACACCTAACTAGGACTGGAGAACAGACATTTCGTGCTCAGTATAGCTGGCTGGCTTTCACACAGGACCTTCCGGCCAGGGCCAGTCTGCTCTGCAGGGTCCCCAGGGTTTTCTTCACCCACAGCTGGAGGCAGTGGTGACTGCTGCTCCAATGATAGCTTGGTTTTGATGGCAGCACCTAGTGCATTGGGTGTGGGTTTCTTTGCCAAGGGCAGTTGTCACACTTGTCAACAGTCATTCTGGCTGAGGAGTCGTCTACTCTGCATCAAAAGAATTGTGAGACTAGACTCACAATTTTTAAATTGATACCTAAAATTCCTAAGTTTAAATGTAAAGGATATAGTTTCTGCTATGTTCCAAATATTTCCTATTTATGATTCTGCCCTTGGTTATACTGTTAGTCTCAACATAAAAGACTGCTTTTTAAATGACATCCTTGCTTTTTAAATGACATCCTTGCTTGAGCCCTCAGTCCACTCGGGTCATCTTGCTACAATAACCATTGAACTGTTCCATGTGTCCTGCCTCCCGTTGTCCCCATCACAGTGTTCTGCAGGCTTGGTCCTCAATGACTGCACTTAACTCTCAGCTTGGACATTTCCTTCAGGATACCTACATAATTTAATCATGTTTCAGTTTTTGTATGAATGTCACATTAAAGTAGCTTTTGTTCACTGCGTATTTTATTCTTCCCCTGGGTGATTTTTCCTAACAGAAGACTAGTGAGGCACGTGGAGTCTTAGAAGACTTAAAAGTGCAGGATCGGAGGCCCTTGCCCCCTGCCCCCCTCCCCACCCCCATTCCAGGAAGGCAGGGATTTGAAGATGTTTGGTTCATTATGCCCATTCACCTAAAAAACAGTAACTTTGTACGTGAAAGGTGTTTGGTATGTCTCATAAACAAGTGGCAATGCCCATCATGAGTGCCAGAATGAGGCAGACTCAGTGGCAGTTAAACAGCAAAACAAAGGGACTTAAGGTCTCAGCATCATTGTCAAGTACATGATCAAATAATCTGATAAGAGTTGGTGAGGTAAAATAGAAGAGGGGTCAAGAAAATGTGAAACTTGTGTGGCAATATAATAGTGATATAAAGAACTATAAGGAGCTTCATAGTGAAGTTTAAGAGGAAAACTAGTTTCAAGTACCAGTTTCTCCCATTGTCTTCAGCTTTCCTATTTTAGCAAGATAAGTGTCCAAGCAATCCCAGTTTCGTGCTCAGCAAAAACAATTTATTCTTTCCCCTTTTAAAGTTTCAGCTTCACTCTTAGACAAGTTTAGGTCTCACACCCATTTGAACTAGTCTGAGTGATAAGATCATTTTCAGGGTTGATCCTTATGCACCAGGTTTATCAGTAACTGACAGCTTTTCTCCCCAAAGCACACAGGGTACCTAGGTGGTAGACTGGATAGAGGAAAGATATTTGCAAGTGCAAAACTAGTTGGGGTATACGTCTTGGCTGGCCCCCAACAGCATAATTTCAGAAGATGAAAGGGGAGGGAGGAGAGCAGGGAGAATCTTCACAGGCTTGTGATGCTCATCACCTGCATCTGATATGGATTTAGCAGTTTCTAGAGCTCAGTTTAAATGTCACTTCCTTGAGGCCTTCAACTACCCTTTTGCAGTCCTCATCTCTGCCATTTCTTGTAGCACAGCACAGATTTTCCCATGGTTCCCGAGGTGAGGAGTCTTGACACAGGTAACACCAGGTTCAAGTTAAGGGCTCAGCTGGACATTTCTAGAGGCTCTAGGAGTGGATCCATTGCCTTTTTCAGTTTTTAGAGACTCCACTACATTCCTTAACAGTAGTGGGTCTAGTCTGCACACCCCAGTGCTCTGAACTCTGCCAGCTCAACCCTGATGGCCTCCCTCTTCCACTTTAAGCATTCCATGGAGCCCACCCAGATATCCCAGACTAATCTTATTTTAAGGTCAGTCGATTAGCAGCCTTAGTTCCCTCTGCTATCTTAATTCTCTTTTACCGTATAAATTACTCTATTTGCAGAATTAGAATAAACATTGGGGGAGGGGGCCTGTCTGCCACACCTCTTCTGGAATTAATGTTGCTTTAGAACATTGTGTTCCCCCTGTGCACTACTACTTGGGATTTTATTCAGACTAAGCTTAAGTAAAATTAAGAAAAATACTTTTTAGCCATTCAGGGAGAAGAAATAGAACAAACTCAGATTAACTTAAGTTCCCCCCTGCATTACTTACATGCCAGTTTATAGAGGTTCTAAGAATAATTATTCATAAATACAATAACCAATTGTCATCCTTGTCAGAGCAAAACATTTTCTCTGATGGGAAAGTCTCATAGTAGTATAAACCTATTCCAGAAAAAACTTGTAGAACTACATCAGTCAACTATCAAGTTATTCAAAGAAAAGAATGGGAAGCCAGAAAATAAACGTCAGCCACTTAAACACAGAAACATGAAGGGACTACTATTAGAAGTGAAGTTTAAGAATGGAAGGGAACCATCAGGGCTAAAACTGGGTTGTTTATCAAAAAGAAGAATGAGTCTTTGGAGACATTAAAGGTAAGTGAGCAACTTACTCTTTATTTTGTTACAGTACCGAAAGTTTGTTTTTATTTCAAAGCAGCCACACGCAGAACAAAACACTAACCTTTGAGATCACTAGGAAAATGGCTGAGGAAACAACCATAGAACAGAAGATAAGAAAGGAGGAAATGAGCATTTTAATGGAAATTCAGCACAAAATATTTAAGTAATTTATCTTTTAACTTAAAACAGTTACACTTAGATTTCATGACCTGCAAGCCTTGGTTATTTATAGCCATTGGAATTACAGGCAGATGGTGGTTTGGCCACGTCCAAAGGTAAGTCTGGCCTGTACCTGATGTTTTCTGCCCAGCAATAAGTTAAATGTTAATTAATTAAATATTTGTTTAATGAACTGAAGATCATCCCTAATATTATTTTACAATGTGTGTATTCTTTGATGCACTGCAGGAGGTATTTACACACCCCTCTTGCGTATCTTACTCCAAAGTTTGTCTAGAGGTTGAGGCTGAAAATTATGCTTGCTTTGATGGAAAGGATAGAAAAGACTGTAAACGGCAGTGGACGTTAAGAAGAAAGCTCCCTGTGCACAATTGTGTGTGGTGTGTAAGGGAGATGTGGGTGGCAGCCAGGAGTGGGGCAGTGATCTGGTGGGTTCTGGGAGCTTCACCAGTGGGTCCTACAGTGATAAAAAGCGTCCAGGACACATGTCAGGCAGCACTCAGCCAGTTTTCCTGCTTTGTGAGCTTGGGAAATGGGTGCATGGCCTCAGAGCCACTGTCTTGTCTTTTTTACTTGTGGCCCATTGTTCTCCACCAGATTGCTGGAATCATTGGAAAAAAAGATGATTCATAAACTGACAGAATATGTAATAACATACAGGCATACCCCTATACTAAGGGCTGTGTGCCCTCAAGGACATTGCAGGTGATCTTGAGATGTCTCATATGAGTAAATTAGAATTAATAAAATGAAGTAACTAACAGTAGATGAAAAGCTCAGAAAGTTAGTGCCACTGGAGTTCAGAGGGGAAATGTTTAATACAGTATGTGCATTTGGCACGCATAATACACAGGTAATTAGATGGGCAGGTTTTAACTCAAATCTAATTTAGCATGCATTAATGCCGTAAGTTTTTTACTGATTTGGTCATGGTATGTTGATCCTTGCTTAATACGAGGAAACATATT